TAATACAAATATTCGTTCTCAATTCTATTAAAATATTCGATATTTAATGTTGTTTCAGAAATTGTTCAGCGATTCGTGCTACGCAAAATTTAACAACGGCTATTGTTGGTTTCAGCTCATGCAAATATATGATAAAATTTGCGATTGTATCCATCTATTCAACAATATCTATGCAAAGCAGGTATTATTTTAAGAACAATTTGATTTTAATATTTTCTATGTATGAACAACTTTACATTTATTTCTTTCATAGATATTATTTATGTTCAACTGTTGGCTATTATCGACTATCCTTGCAATATGTAGATTGATAAGCCCATCATTAAAGGTATGTGGTGGTTGCAAATAGGTATTTTTAAGGTAAATTTTGTTAATTCTGTGATAAACTTTTTTTTTTAGAACAATGTTACGAAAAATACTGATGTGTATTATTACATTTTTATAAACCTTCGACCATTGTTCATAGCCATATTCAGCGAATTGTTTATTGAGGGAAGGCGAAAAATATTACATCTTCTAATGCACTGTTTGGTTCATCATGAATTGGGTAAAATTATGAAATCTTTATCATTACTTTCAACTAATGTTAAATTGTTTATGAGATGTGTTTTTTATTTGTTTTACGATATCTACTGACAGTACTATTTCTTAAACAAAGAAATAGTATTGTCGAGTTTAATTTATTTTTTGTTATCTATTTATTTATAAAATATTAATTCTGACAAAGCAGTTCTACTTTACTACTTATACGTTATTTTTGATATATGTATCCCAAATTATTATTTTTCTGACTAATTATATTTAATTGTTTGATACTAACAAATTATAAAAATTATACATATTTGATAAATTAAAAAAAGTTTTTTGAGCTAATAATAGTTAATACGCTTATAGATCCAGAACATAGGAGTCAAATATCAATTATGTTGGCGTTAGTAAAAGCAAGACGTCTGGAATTATCCGCGCAAGTGTGTCCTGTGACATTAAAAATTATGATCGACTTTGCAGGACGAGTCATCTCCTATACAATTCTTATTATACAGCATTTTTATAATAACTTATGAATATATATATTACATGGTATTAAACCATTGTTAGTAAAGTTTTATTTAAATAAATATTTACTTTAGTGTGTTCACTTTTTTCTAACGGGAGGTGAGATCGTTTAAATACTTGACCCCAAATTTTATCTATGGGTCTGCCAATGCCGGGAACGATTATCGAGACACTTACCTATAATTAAATTTTGATCAATGTATCAAATGTCTTTTTAATTACGATCCAATTATATTCATATAAAGTTGATTAACAACTTTTTGCATTAAAGTATAACAGTTACCCATAGATAATCGAAACAAAATTTACTTCTAAAATACTTATTACTACGTTTTTTTGAGTACTTCTGATCAAAGTTTATAATTCCTGGATCCTCTCATTTTAATAATATGTACATATTATGAGGATTCATATAGAATACTTTATCCCAACCCAGAATATGTCCAACCTGAGAAACTACTTGATTCTACTTCATTAACAGTTTATAATCATCAATGACAGATTTCCTTTTTTATTATATGTACACATATTTTCAAACTGTCAGTAAACTTCTAAACAAGAAAACTATATACATACATAAATTATTATACATATTTACCGAGTATTATCAAGAGAAATATTATCTAACTAAAGTTATAAACGACGTAAATGAGTTTGTATGTAGCAGCAAAACTGAAATAAAAAGCTGTATATAATAAATAAAAAATTGTTTATTCACTAATAATGAACGTTTTTATTATTAATGATTGTAGTTCCTGGAAATCAACAAAATCTTAATACAGTATCGTTAGGAGAAGCGTGGTCACTCCTTTTAGGTCGTAAAGACCAGTGACAGCAAAAGCTGCATAGTTAATTACTTTATTTCAAATATTGATGAGCACTTTGTGTTATTCCATTTTCGTTTATAAAGTGGTTCTTAAGTATCTATTTCGTCGTCACGTCGCACGTTCTAATGTAATATCAATATGCTTTAAGACCCCTACATGTTTTATATAGGTTAGCTGAAAATAAAGAATTTTAATGGACTATAAATTTTTAAGAAATGTAATAAAAATAATAATATTAAAATGTATGTGACATTCGTAACTGCTTCAACCGTTTTTAAGCACCCTTCACCTGTCTTAAATTTATTTTTTAAAGATCGTCGGGCGGCAACGATCTTTTAACACCGTAACAGCTTGCGTTTTTCATTTAATTAAATTGTGCCCGACGTTTTAAGCCACGTCAGAATTTTAGCATTTGAAAAAGTTATAAAATTGTTGGTCCTGATATAATATTAATCTCATTACATTTTTATACAATTATTTATCGTCCGAATTCAGACAGAAATTATTGGACCTAATGAGAAGTGTAAATCAAGACGTAGATTTAAGAACACATACACAGACAAACTGTTCCAATCCTTATCAGAGGAAATGAGCAAGGAAAGAAGCATGTTGCTTCGCATGGATTCAAAGAAGATATATGTACAAAGAAAGCATGGAGGTTCGCAATACGTTTAGTTGTCTGTTAAACAGAGAAATTATATGAAGTACTGCGTTCACTTTCCATAATGTAGGTATGTTATAAACAGCGAGACTAGAATTTTTATTCTATGGCGAAGACTGACTAGGTTGCTTTAAAACAAATCTCAGTCACTAATAAATTAAAAACCAAAATAAAGAGGAGCCAAGGAATCAGATTCCATACCAAAAAATCTCATTGTTATGACTTAAGTTCCAAAACCTACCTTAAGCTTTCAAGATCTTGATCTTTCTGATATCATAAGTTATCAAGTAAAAGGTAAATTCTAAATAAAGAACAGTAATATAAACTAACACGATATGAAATAGGAAATACTATTATCATTAACGTAATGTGAAGTTAACTATCTAAATTATATTTCAGACCAAATATTATTTCTATAAGTATCACATCAAAAAATGTTGTTTTTTATGTTGTTATATTATGTATAATACTTAAACAAGGCAGACCCTGACTAAAGCTGGGAAATAGCCAGATAGAAGAAGAAGTATAATACTGAAACAATACTCGAATTTTCTTAAATATCCCATAACTTGCTTAAAACATATCACGACCGTATATAATAGAATGTTTGTTGTGTTCTATAGGAATATTTTCGCAGTAAAAATGTGAAAGCGACAGTTACATTAGTAGGTATGCTTACCACAAATTTACTTAGTCACACCGCACAGACAGCATTTCCAACTCTTCATTTACGCATTCGCACTTTATAATATTGACGATGGTTATTGAATGAGAAATGAGAAAGGCTTCGTATGTAATGTAACGATTCTTACTTGTGTTATTCAGTTATAAAATCCACAGGGGATTATAAAGAGTGAGTACAATTTTAACTTATCTTTGTCTTGATTTAATAAAGATTCTACATATAAATAATTCAAAACGTAGTGGTACATTGATGATATACATGATAATACAATAAATTCAGTGATTTGACAAAACTTAGAAATGGTCTAGTTCAAGGCTTAATTCTCAATTCTCTCTCTGGGCACTTAAGCAACACAGAAAAGCAGTTTTTCAGCTCCAAAAATATAGTCTAATTTTAACATTTAACATTTACAATGAAAATACTTGGGAATTGTTAATTTTCTTTAGTCTATGAGAACGACGTGGTTAAAACTTATCCATAAAACTTTTGCTGGTAATTTATTATTAAATTAATTTAAAAACATATTTCTGAACCCAGTATATGACTTTACATAAATATCCATTATAAGTATATAATAAAGAAAATATAGTTGTGCACGGCCACATTCTTATACAATACAATAGTAACAGTAGTGGTATGTCAATTATTCTTCATTTATTGTTATAAAACATGGTTATTGCCTGCAGCCAGGAACCGTGTCTCTACAAGTAAATTTAGAAAAGTTTCTAAGAACGTCTGCAGCGGATGATATGAAACTCAAGAAAATTTTATGAACAAAGTTCTATGGAAAAAGTTAGGACAATAAAAAATACATTATAAATTCGAACACTCAAAATCACATGTACGAATGATTAAGAAAGCAAATGTTACAGGAGCTATTGAACCATTATACACACCACTGTTACTACCATTTTGACCGCGGTTATTTCACCGGACTGCTTTCCTTTTAGTCTTACTCTGCAACGGGAAGTATAGTGAGTGACATACATTATGAAATTATATTTAATTAGAAACAAAAAAATAAAAATAATTTGTAATAACTACCATATATTTTTAGATATGGTTGTCTAAAGTCCTAAGAACGATTACAAGTACGAGTATTAATTTAAAAACCTCCTTATTATGCTTCATAATATTGGCATTTCAATTGCAACGGAGTTTTTGCAATCGATCGTTATAATAATACTGAAAGTATCGAAATAAGAAATACTACATTCTATTTTCTCACTTCTAGTTTGCTTTTCTATTATTATTATTATTATTTTGTTTAATAATTATTTTAATCTTATCCTAAATTAACTTATACATAAAACATTTAAAGAATATTGCTTAATAAACTCTGCAATACGTATAAACAATAAAAAAAAAGGATCACGGCCAGTCACACTAAAATTATATTCATATTATTATTTTGTAGTATAGTTGGTTACTCAACAAAATAAAAACTGCAATAACAAAAATCTATCTCTTATTTTTAGCCTGTTCCAACTTTGACGTATGAATGACGGAAAAACATTTTTGACGTCAAACTCAAAGAGCATTGTCGAAATATATGACCGTTCAGTGTTGTGTTTGTACTTTCTTCCATGATATTGGTAGAATTGACTGCATAAAAGTTTAGTAGCTGTCTCTCTTATACTAACAATATTGAGAGCAACGTTCAAGAAAGTGGAGATAGAGTAGTAAATTAACTACGTTTATCGGTGTATCAGCATTAAAAGTTAGGTTTTCTTTTTAGCTCTTTTGTAACTGCGCTTTTCAACTTTCAACTATGTCTGGATGTAAGTACATATAATACCTTTAAAATAATTTGTGCTACATAAATGTTTCGATTTACTCATTAATCTCATATAGTGAATCAGTCAACTGGATAGTCACCACATCATTAGACACAAGGCATTACTTTGTTACACCATATTAAAAACGGATTTCACTTATTTAACATTTTTAATCACCATAGATAAATGCATTCCACAGTTCTTATCTATATATGGATATATTTCATTTTAATTTAATCCATTAGTAGGCTTGGAATGTAAATAACACTTTCAGGTAATACTAGTTAATATTATAAATGTGTAGGTAACTGAAGTTGTATACTTCTCAGATGATATAAGATATAAAATTTAGAACAACTGTTTCTGAAATATCACTGATAAAATGTTATGGACATAATTATTCAAGTCAGTTTATAATTATGCATCAAATTTTATATTTGAAACTGTTTTCACTACAAATAGTCAATAAAGATGCTTTAATGAACACTGTAATCAATGTTTTATATATTCCTTATAAATATTGTTATTATAAGTTTGTTTCTCAAAAAAATCAGTAAATTTTTAATGTATTTTTAAATTAAGATAATCATTTACCTTATGACTCATATAATTTCAGATCCATATGGTGGCAACCCACCTCAATATCCTCCACCTCAAAATCAAATCTACCCACAAATTTACAACCAAGCAAATGCCTCACCTGTCCAGGCAATCCCTGGATATCCAAGCGGGCAAAATCCTCAATTCCCATACCAGCCTGGTTTTGTAGTCTATCCCACGCAACCTCTGCCAGGACAATTGCCGCCTGCAGCAATGTCCTATCCCGGAGCACCAGCAGCACCTCCAAATTACGGCTACCAAGGATTCCCGAATGTTGCTCCTCAACCATCATATGAGCGTGAGTTATTCTAACTATAAAGTAATATTTGTATCCCTTAACAAATTACCTTACATGATATAGTCCAGACCTATTAAATAAACATTCCTATGTATTCAATACACAAACAATACATTTTAAATAAGTTTTAGATTTGAAATTATAATTTTTGTTTCAATTAATTCTATATTATGGCATATAATGAGTTTGGTATGTAACGATTATTTAATGATGTCCCCAATTAATACTTGATAAGTAGGATTCCAATACTCAAGATATTATTCCAATAAAACAAAACTTGTTACATTTTAATCATTTGAAATACATAATTACTTATCTTGATGATATCACCCATTTATTGAGTATTTATTTGTGTTGATAATATTTATACGGACAAAAGCATTTTACCTCTTCAAGGGTTTATAGTCAGTTGGTCATATATTTTATCAGCTTGAAAAAATGTATCAATATCCACAGTATAATGATTATAACAATTTCTACTATCCAGCTGTAGTGGAATGGATTCCAACAACTCCGAATGAGGCCCATGTGTTTGGTAACCGAGCAGTTGTTGCTGGCTATGAGGGTTATGACCATAGTCCTCTATGGGTGATAAGGGCGAGATTTGAAGGTGATCTAATACCTGGTAAACTTGCAATCCAGCACAAGGCCGCTTATGTACCATGGGGTGGCACTGAAAATGCTGTTCATAATATTGAGGTATTTAATACATTGAATATACTTAAGTTTGTGTGCCCTTGTTTTTGATGTTAGCCCAGAGACTTTAAAATGGGAAGGTAAAAAATCATATTCAAAACTATTACAATTGAACACAAATGGTCTTTATTTTGTTATTTTTATTTATTAAATTTTAAAATTTGGATAGTATTCTGATAGTTTATAATTTGCATATTTTCTAATAACATTTTTGTGCTGTTTAGTCACTTGTATGAACACAAGTAACAAATTATTATTGTTAATTTTCAACATTCATTTCTTTATAATACCTATTCAATATTTAAAAACCTACTAGATATTTAATTGTGCCGTTATTGATATATGTTTGTTGGTATTTGCAGGTGCTATGTGCTCGTCCAGAATGCATCCGTTGGGTTGATTGCTGTGAAAATTCAATACCTCCAAATGCTATAGTTGCTGGAAATACTTCTGAAGGTGAACCCTTGTATGTGGGACGCGCCAGGGAACAGGGATCACTTACACCAGGAAAGGTAAGACATTTTATACTATATAATTAGTGAAATAATTTTTACGAATATGGCAACTTTACAACTTGTGTATGTTAAAATTTAAGAGCAAATACATTATTATTTAATATGGCAACATTAACTCTTGTAATAAACAGAAGGTTAGGAATGTATGGATAAGACTTGGTCCATGCTGTTTATTATACTAAAAAGTTGTCATATGTTCAATAAAACAAGTCTTTTTTTTTATTTTATAAGAAAGAAAACTATCAATATGTTAATGTCTAGTATCTAGTAAATTTCTCAGAAATGTCCATTACTGAAGACTTCAATAATTAAATACTTTTTTGCTAATTTAAGACGTTATTTATGTACAAACTATTGAATATCTATCAATTTACAATAGTGATCATTTTTTTATGAGGTGGTAATGTTAAAATTATGTATACAGTACTGCCCTTGTCTATTATACTTAAAACAAAGGAAAATAATGATAAAGAGTGTTGTCATTTATTTGACTCATAAGGGTGAGTCATTTTGTAGTGACAGATGACTAATTTTCAGATATTATTTCATATCATTCATTACATATGCAATTCCTTGAATTTTTCCATATTTCTGATACCCATTAAGTTGTATTAACTAATTTGGAATTTAATATTAACAATATTTTTCAGGTCCACCCAAGCCACAGAGCTATGTATGTTTCATTCGCCGGAAAAGAGATTTCTCATAAGAACTATGAAATACTATGCACTGTTTAGTTACTTGAAAAAGAATTTATTATTTATCTGAATTTTGCTATTGTTTTAAAGTATTATTTCTTTAATATGTGGTTTATAAAGTACTGAGACACTGTAATAGTCTCGTTTATTCCTATTGTTAATCTTAGGATAAGCAAAAGATGTTATTTTGTAATTTTTCTACGATTTAAAACATTGTTGCATTTTGAATAAACTGTTTATTTTGTATTAAAGTGTTTTTATAGAGAATTTTGTTTTGATTGCAAGATTGATTATTGAAAGATATGTTAATGAAAAATCAAAAAGCCTACAGGTTACAGTTAGTTGTAGTCACTGTTGAGACAAGTAGACACAGCTTTATATTTCATAAGACTTTATTGTATAATTGATATTCAGACTTCTTTATTTTGACTCTATTCACCATATCTAATAAACCGTGAGGATATGAATGATATTAGGAAAACTGAATCCAAATATTCTAAAATGAAATGTGAATTAAGATTCCATCAGTACAAACTACAGCAAAACTCGCTTATCAGTCCAAATTTAACTATACGAAATAAAGTAAAAAAGATATAAAAAAATTAATAAACATGAGGTAAAACATTAGGAATATGGAACTAGATAGTTAATTAATAGTAACAGTGATAGGCAATTATCATGACAAAACAATACGTTAATGTATGAGACAAACCACAACAAAAAAAAAATGTAGTTACCTGTTGATTACGTAAGTTATAAATGAATGTTTTTTCTCTTATAAAGGTCACAAATAATAATTGAACTTTTTCTAAGCACTATAGAAATACTGTAGTCATGAGTGGTAATAAGAACCTCCACACCTTGGAATATGAAATATTATTCGCTCGCCGCTAATTCCATCATTTACAATTGAACCAAACATATAAAAAGACGTAAAATTTAAACTGAACTTTTTATTAGATCGTGACAATGACTCGTGTCGATAATTTTGATGATATTGTGTTTATTTTAAAGGTAAATTTTCCAATAAAAATATCGTTTTCACCCATCTGTCACGAAAAATTTCTAGACGTTAATAAATGGCAGCCTCTGTAATTCTTTGCTATGATCAAAATTTGTTAACAATATGCTTTAAAAATTAAAATAATTACCTTTAGGTCCTAATTATTTAAAAATACTATATACTGAAAGTTCCGAAGACTTATTATTCTATGAATTTGGCAAGATGGGGGCATGGGAGAGATCAAAAATGCAATGTAACAAGGAAACATTAATTTATTTTAACTTAAGTTCATACGCCTAACTATAAATAAGTACATATATTGTCAGTTTTATATATAAAATAGAATTAATTTTTTGCCGAAAAACATTATTTTAATTGCTCATTATAAATTATTAACTTAGTATAAATTATTGTTATTTAAACTATGTGTAATGAAAATAATCTGTTACCTAATATAATAAACAAAATTTTAATATTAATCCAAACCTTTTAAGGACAAATGTTAAATAATATCAAATTTTAAGTACCAAGATATATCAAAGAATTTGATGTAAATGTATCGTTAAAATAAAATTTATTTAGGTATATAAAATCACAGTGAAATAGCCCTAAAACTGCTGAAATGACATAATGAAATTTGAATACAAATATGACAATAAATATTCAATATATATCACAAATATCACAGCATACCATTACAATAGACATTATTTTTCTAGAAAAATTCTTTCAACATGTTTTTAAGTAGATAATAAATATAATTATTTTTTCTAATATTAATTATTAATTTGATATTTAACAATATATTTTTAATTCGTTATAATGTCATATTACAAATTAATTTACTTACGTCAAAATTGACAGTTTACATGAGCCGTCAACAAATGAAAGGCCGTAATTTATCCTATTTCAACTAAATACATCACAGTTTACTTGTACACAGCATGCTTTCTGTAAATCCCATTTCTATCTGCGATTGGTTTATGTTTTCCATGCCTTGATTATTTTCCGTTTTCGTTTTATTTTTTTCTTCCTCAAAAGCTTTATTGTCTATTCCATTTTTCTCTTCTTCTTTAGCTGTTTCGTTTTTCTTTGTAGGTTGTTCAGGACCACGCTTTTTATAATCCAAGTACAACCATCTTTAAAATTTTACAAAATGTTAGAAAAATAAGATAAATTGGTTGCTATTTTACAGCACCGATCACATATTTGTTAATTCCAAAGAAGAAACTTAGTTAAATAAAAATATACTTACAAAAATATAAGTACAGCGGGTACAGTAAGACCTCCTCCTAACAAGAAGAAAGCACCTGGGAAGGTTTTGATAGTAGCTGTATATACAGTTGTATACATAGGTGCGTACACCAAAGGCATCATCGCTTCGGCTACACCGAAGAATGAATTCGTTTTACCTATAAAAACATATAAAATTATACGTTGAACGTGTTAATTGTTTACTATAACAAAATGAATTAGTTTTCCTATATTATTAGATTAGCGTTTACATATTTAGGTATGTTAAAAACTAACCCAACTCGTCTTTTTCCACAAGCTTAGAAACCATAGACCTCATAGCGATGAACGACGTCCCGTTGAATATTTCAATTAACGGTGCTAAAACAATAAAAAAATGTTAACCCCATTTTTTCTTTCAAATATGTATTAAAAAATTTATGACGTAGGAACTTTAATTTTCTTGATATTCAAACATTTCAAGTAAATCAACTTTCAGTTTACATTTTAAATTTAAATATGACAGTGTAAAATTTCTGTTTACTGTCTTTCTTATTCGTTCAATATTGTAAGCGTCTACTGAGTTTGAATGAAATATATTATGTCTTTGTTTGGAGCTTCATTAACACATTTGTAAACTTAATGATTTATTACTTGAAATGTGGGCTTGACAAATTATTTCAAAGTCAAGATCGCGACCTGTTTTCGTCAGGTTTTTAATTATAATTTTCTTTTGTAAAAATGTCTATTTTTTGATACATGCATAAGAAGCAAAGGAACTAATAAATCATTGTTTATGACTACATGTTTTGCATGCCTTTAATTGTCTGGGAGCAAATAAAATATTCCTGTCACCAGAATGTAAAAAATTCAACTAATTTAAAACATTAAATAATGATATAAGTATCAAGTTAATTCGATTACCAACCAATATAAATTTGCCATGTTTTCGTAGAAAAAGCATACATGAAACCGGATAAAATCTTGCTAGTGCATGATATTATCCCAATTACTGCATCATCAAACTTCAACAGGTGACTGAACACGCCCACGGAGAAAAGTGTACCTTAATAGGGAGTCTCAAGTTAGTATAAAATATTACAAAAGAATAAATATAAATGACTAGTACATACGGCTACTTGAGAGGAACATTGTTTTGTGGTTTGAATAACAAAAGTTTTGATAATTTACTCGTACCATAAGTAAAATATTTGTACTAGTAAAACTATAAAATTTTAAACGACGAACAGCAACATACATTGTAATAAATATGTAAAAGGAAAAATCTTTGTAAAATATCAAAGTGTCAACTTAGATCTAAATTCTAAATCACTACTTTGAAAACCGACAAGCAAAATCAGTTAAAACCTAGTTATCTAATGGACTAATGGTACATAGTAAATAATTGTAAGAGAAAATAGTATTTGTATAGGTAATGATCACATTCATACATACCAACTAGAGAAGTGCACATTGCATAAGTAGAAAACATACTAAAATCCACTTCATTCCAGTTGAACCGGTATCTCGTAAACAAGTACATGACAGACATCTCGCCTGAAAGTAATAATACATTATCATAGTAATATTTATTATTAATATCTTACTATACTACTTATTATAATATTTAGTATTGATGTCTTAAAACGTTGGAGATATTACGACTGCAGTTTAAAGAGGACTATCCGAGTGTAAGATTACAAAAATAAATACACATAATTATAATTCATTACAAAGTTTTTTCTGGATAATATAATGTTAAATAATATTACTTAAGACGACCTTACAATATTGTATTGTTGGAGATAATTTTGGTACCGGCCTAGGTATTTGATTTTAGCAATTGGCATTATAATACAGTATTGAAATTATGTGAGTCAAAATACACACGAATTTACAGTAAATGTCTTTTTAGAAGAGGTTAGGGACCCATTTCAATGAATAAAGTATACAATAATGAAGATATTCCACATATAAATTAATGAAGCTAATTGGATCAGCTAACAATTTCTACCATTAAATAAAGAGTTGTGCTGAGGTACAAAATACCTATGTTATGAAACGATTCTATGTTATTTGTTTTTACATGAAAGTATAAGGATTTTGGTAATTTTGTAAAGACGAAAACATAAATTTCTATCCATGTTTATCAAGTTCATTATATACACAGTATAGTACATATTTGATTTATAGAAAGTTATCATAAGCACATAGAACGTGTATGAACAGTTTAAAAACATCGATTTCCTTAAAAACTTCACGCAAGAAGTATTAAATATTTTTTCATACTTTATATTTTTTGCTCATTCCATGACGTTTTCTCAAGAGCATATTTTCTTTTTTTATGGGAAAAGGAGGCAACCGAGCAGACGGCCTACTTGATTGTTGGTAGCTACCGTCGCCCATGGACATCTGCAAGGTAGATTTGCAGATGTGTTGCCGCCCTTGATTGGGGTAAAGGGGGATTAAAAGGTGGGAAAGGGAGGGAAAGGAAAGGGTGGGAAAAGGGAAAGGGCAACCGGCTCTCTCACTCACCGGGCGAAACGCCGGCGTGAAGTAGTCTTTAAGCCATTAAAGACTACTTCACGCCGATTTTCTGTGGGAGGGTGGTACTTCCCCGATCGAGCCAGCCCATGTTCGAGCTGTAGTAACTAGACCACAGCTAGGCTCTACCACCTTAAAAATCCATCCATCCATCCATATATCCATCGGTATATAATAAGGTGTCTAAAAGGCCACATGGCCATTACATAATGGACTTTGTTCTAAGTCATTTTAAATTTTGAAGTTTCGTAATTTATAAATGTAATATATCTACAACTGTGTAGCCGAAGATAATTGTCTGAAAATCTTTGAAACTTTGCAAAAACAAACTTGATGTATTTATGACAGAAAATATAAATCGATCGATGGTAATCTTTAGTGCAATGAGGACAAATGTCACTCATCATTAGCCAATAGAAAGCTATGTGTTTTAGATAAGGTTTAATAGCTTGGTGACGATAAATTTTTCTCCGAAATAAGAAAAAATAACCAAATTCTGTTATCACGTGGCCAATAATGTAATCCAATTACAACGAGATTATGAAGTAAATATACAAGGAAATGTTTTATAACGTGGAACAGTGTATATCTATATATAGATTAATTCATAAACCATTATTTTCACAAAATATGTTAGCTTACACCTGCGTAAATGTCGTACCACTATTAAATTCATATATTTTATTCTAGTTGAAAGACTATATTGCAATTTTTCTGACGTCGTTTGAATCATACGTTTTAGATAGGACATGAATATTAAGTGTCAATAAAAAGAACAATTATACTCACCATAAATAGGTCCAATAACAACACAAAGAACAATGACCAACATGATAACTCTCAATCGACGGTTGTTTGGTCCGCGTTTAAACGCTATCATCATTGTATCTTTCACGTAACGCGTGTCAAAGAAATCACGAAGCCACTCACAACAGTTATTGCTTGGTTTCTGTAAATGAAAACATTATTTAAGCATTCAAAATATGTCATATCATGGGACATAAAATATCAATAATCTTTTATAATTTTAATCAACATGCGAGTGTCATGAACATATACAAAACGAATTATTAAAAAGTAACAAAATTAAATAACTTAAGAACTTAGGATATAATCACATTGTAATAATGGAAAAAACATATTAAAGAAAATCTATAACAGGTAAAAGGTTGTGGCTATTCTGTCTCATGTGCTAGATATTTATAGAGTAGGTAATATTTTAAATACGAACTACTACAAAATTTCCACTGCTTTGTTTAAATTTCTAAAATTAATCTTAAAAATTACTCTTTAATATTTTAAATATTTCAAAACTTATACTGATAATTCAAGTCCACCAATTTCCATAGAAAAACTATATGAATAACACATAAGATATTATTTATAAAATATATAAATCATTTATAGTAAATCTAAGACAAAAACTATTGCAGATTTATTAAAGGTATGTACTTGTAATAATAATTAATTTTAATGTGTGTTAAATGGGTAAAATAATCATCACATTATATTTTTATTTTGATATCTAGTCCACATTCATTGTATATAATTTGATTCTAAACCCGAACATATTGCAAAGGCAAACATTAAAATCTATTAAAACAGCATAAAATTAAATAAAAATATTTTAATTTGCAAGCATTTTTTGTTTAATTGTTGGTGGCACCTTTTTTTATATCATCATTAATAAAATATGTTATTTTTTTCAAAGCATTTTTTTTCAAACTGAGTTACATAACTTGAACGAAAGAAACTAAAGATCACTTGAAATTATTCCTCAACGTCTTCAAACATTGCGATATCAAAGCATTGATTTCGAACCCTGTATATTAGATGTCGAATCGTAGTGATGTAGAATAATTATTACCATAGAAAGAACTAGGATAAATCATAGATAGAATTAGCAAGTTTATGCTAGGATTTTTTTGGAATAGCTGAATATAATAATTAATTTATCCAAACAATACTAAACATTGAATACATAAAGTTAAATAAAACGCTACGAGCCTATTATTTACATAACTATTTCTGAAACGAGTCAAAAAGGAATTTCGTAATAATACCTACAAACTCTAAGTAATTACGTTCTATAGACGTCATCTGAAACATTTGTTTTAAAAATTATTATATTAGAGGGATGTAAACGTCATAAACTATAAGACAATGAGTTAGCAATATTAAAAAAAGGCATAATATAAATGAATAATCTTAATTCAAATTACTGTTAGGTATTTGCTTAATTGATAAGCCACTAATCATGTAGGCTGCTATTAATCAGCAAAATAAGACATAAGATGATCGGAATTAATGATCTTTGATTATTCATTCGTTTTTATTAAAACAGATAAATAGCTGAATTAAATATTTTATTACGATGATATAAATTCTAAATATATAACATTCTGCCTTTGTAACGAGAATAACGTCACTTACAGATTTTTTTAGGAGGACTTTTCGTAGTTTTATAAAAATTAAAAATATTTTTTGAAATAAGTATTCATATCGTTATTGCCTTAAGTAGATAATCACACAGATCACTAATAAGCTCGATAATTTTAAATGGTAATAGTTCATTAATTCATTGCAATATATTGACTTGTAGAGCGTAAAGCAACGCGACCTTCCTTTCAAGCGATAGTGACATCTTAGTAGGCCAAGTTGGTGGTCATTTTTTTATTGTCACGCTTGAATTGATTTAGTCATTGAACTTGTAACCTGTTACGTAAACTGAAGAGGCGTCAATGGCAAATTATTTTCCTTATTTTGCAGCAATGAATTTACTTGTTTTTAATTTTTAAACTGCAAGGAATTTGAACAATTTTATATCATTATATTTTTTTGAATATCCAAAATGCGAATGATATTAATCTTTGCAGTAAGTTGCATGCGTTACCTTTAACTCTATTTACTCGATTTTTAGGTTGTTTTATTAAAATCTTATTTGATAATGATATGATTTAACGGTAGTTTTATGTATTTGTATTTAAAATTAAAACAGCTTTTGTAAAAAGGACCTAAAGCTGACTAATCTAGAACAATTTATTCTGATCACATAAAATGGTTAATTATGATTGTATAATTGTGTTGCTGGAATCATTGTTTACATCTTTCGTATTCCTTTATACGATGTAATGTTGCAATGAAAATTCAGCATTAACGTTAAATATATTACAATAAAACATTGTACGACTTATATTATACTAAATATTAAAGTATTAGGCTAATTTTTATACTATAATCGAATCGACAAAAATCGTTCCTATTCGTAAAGCAAATAATTTAAAGAAATTCATCATCTATTAAATATTCTTCTAGGTTTTAGAGAAAACAATTTCAACTTACCACAGTTAGATCGGTCCTTTTAACTTCTTTTATCCTATAATATCCGTAAAAGAAGCTCAAGACATATAACGAAGCACTTATAGAAAATACACCATATAATCCTATTTTTCTCACTAAAATTCCACTGAGCGCTGCACCAACTGGTACTCCCAAAGAGTAAAATAGATTCACTATTCCGATTCGTAGTGTTCGTTGCTCCTCTGTTGTTACATCAGCTATGTAACTAAAAACTCCCATGAACATAGTAAACCAGCCTCCAGTTAGAGCAGGAAATATTGCTTCTGTGACAGCAGCAACTTCAACAGGCAATTCATAAAAGAAATGCGTGTTTATTATCAGACCTATACTGGTCAAAAATTCACCGACAATTGGCAGAAGCATACAAAACTTTCTTTGTCCAACTCTATCGCTGTAGGCTCCTAGAAATATTAATACCCCGCATGGTAAAAATGATTGCAATACGGTTTTCCATCCTGCTACAGATGCTACTAACGTCTGCACAGCTTCTTCTTCTAAAGTGTAATTCGCTGTTTCTCTTTTAGTTAAAGCATCGCATATATGATGATCAAACTTTAAGTTCACTCTACAGGCTTTTTCTAAATATAGATTTTGTGTTGCTAGTGCTGCTAGTACAGATGGCATTACATAACATGCTAATATGGGTTCAACTGTAATTAATGATATCATGCGTTTCAATTTTTGAAAAACGTTAAGCCCGTCGAAACTGTTGATATCTTCTTGGTCTTTCTTCATGTTTGTACCCTTTGAATCTTTGCTTGAAGTATTTTTGTATAAATCATCTTTAGCGGTAACTACATTACCTCCATTTATTACGTAAGAATTTTCCTGAGAATGATTGTTATCTTTACCATTCTTTGTACTTTCAATAGCCATAATTACGCTTGCAATTGCAATCTGAAACAAGAAACAGATATTTCAGTCAATTATATCATATATTTTATTGAGATAAGTTATCTTAGCGTTGATGGGTATGAATAATTACAAAATATATACATATATTTATAAATACAACAAAGTTTAATATTTTTTTGATAGATTATGACTTTAGTTTGGAAAATTATTAATGTGTTATAAGCAGACATAAATAGGCCCATATATCGGCTTAGGATCTAGTTTGCTGAATTTTACGTTCTACTGTAAACTTTGGTACCTCTGATTGGTAAATGCGTTAATGTTCCTAATACCGGACGTGGTAATCATCTCATGATTACTGCGTACTTATTGTAATCGTCTGAATGCTAGACAGAATTAACTTTACACGGACGCAATGGTTTTTATCGTCCTGCATTATCATTGTTTCCAGTAGAGTCACGGAATAAAAGATTTTCGTGTATTTACCTACATTTTTAAATACATTATGACAATGTATGTATGTACTTAATAACACACAAAATAGATAAGACACGAATTTTTCAAATGTTTACTAAAACTTACGTGAACGTATAATATTTAACGAACTCATCAACTAAGTGATTTATAAATTTTACAATAATAAGTTTATATAAATGCAATAAATTGAAATGAATTATCAAAAATAAACTGTTGATTAATACTAATTTGAAGTTTTTTTTTTGGGTTTTAATTTTTTTATTAAATTTATTGATAAAATTTTACATTGTGTCTATTACGCATTTGCTCGTCAATTAACTATGAGATTTTCAAAGTTTTTATTCGTGAAACGTCGTCGATATGATATTTGCGATGCTTTATAAATAATTTTGAAATTCAACTAAAACTAAGGATATTACTGTTGAAGTTATTCACGATTTGAATAACTACACTTTGTATTAAAAGTAAAATTTTGCAATGGAAATATTATTTAGCGGTGATACTTGAAGAATAAATGATTCGGTCGATACAGTTTTGCAGTTGATTACGTTGCGTATATGATCTTTGTCAATGAAAAATATTAGAATCTGATTATACTTTTCCTATCAGATGAGTAGGATCTATATAAGAAACAAACCTATCTTCGCAATTTGTTTATCACTGAGATAGCTATTAACTATAAAATTTAAAAAGGTTAGGTATCAAAGCGGATATAAACATTAAACGTTGAACCTTGAGGACATCTCTACAATGCGAGCTAACAAAAACTAGTATAGGTACAGTAGTATCATCAGATCGACCTCGTCTAGCCGATTCCGTGTTCCTTATCAAGGATTATTAAAGGAAATATAAAACATATATTTGTTTTATTTAATTAGATGTTTAATACATTTTAATGTTACATTCATGGCTAAAATGAAGTATGACAGTTTAGTAAATCATTACTATCATTTATAATTAAGTTACCTTATTAAAAAGTATTTGTTAATAACATAACATTATAATTTTACTATAGTATTAATGAGATTAAAATAACTGCAAACATTTATTAAGTATAACAGATTTTATTATTCATAAGAAACTGCATTCACAAAAGACGTTAATTATTTTATTCGAATTATATTGAAATTATATTGCAAATTTACAATGAATAAAGGATTTTAATAGTTTATATCTTAAATTCCAAGTACTAAAATGTTATATAACAAACTAAGCAAGAACTTATATCAACACCTGATTTAATTAAAGAGTATTATATCAGATGTTAAATTTAGAACTAGAAAAAACTTTGACCCATAAACATAAATAACAGAAAAACATATAAAACTAACATTTATTGAGAATAATGGTTAAATAACATTTTAGCAATTGTAATAAGTATTAATGTAATTTTAATGATCCATTCCTTTTATTAATTATTAATTCCACATATCTATTATTAGTATGCCATACAATTTGCAAAACCGTTATATGATGAATATTCATTTGTTTTTATGACGGTGTTGACAGTAAGGATGAGACCGGTATATTAAAAATAACGTCTGGACAGTCTTCACTTTGGATAACTTTTTTTACATGTCGCCCATCTGTCACTCGCCTAATCGATTGATTCAAAATTAATCACTTATATGAATCCTCCAGGCTGACACATGGTATTGATCTCATTATATATAAATTCTGTCATTTGACATCTCATTATATTTTATTTTTGTTTATTAAGCTGCTCTGAATTTGATTCGCAAATTGTTTTAGAGATCAAAGGTGTCTTTGCCTTCCATACCTGCTTTTTCCAACGTCAAAAATATATTATGTTCAAAATTTCCTTTCCATCGATTGTATTAGGAGGATGTGAATACTTAATAAATATACTTAATTTGAAAATATATTGGCAAAAAGTTGTAAGCATTTATTCTTATAAATGGTACTTCGTATAACCGTTGACGTATTTTATTAGTGTTTCTTTTAATATGATGAAGCACTTTTAACGTATCGATTTGAATTAGCGAATACTAAGAATCAAGCTCAAGAACATGATTTTTAAGATTTAACGATCCGAATAAGATGTTTAGTTAGTTAATCTGTAAGAATCTTAAACAGTAAATACCCCTAAAAAACTTAAAATCATTCATCATACCTAAGTTTTAAAAAACGTTTTGACTAAATGTTTATTGACAAAAACAAAAAATGACAATGACAGCAAAAAATATTCTCACAATTAAAAGAACAAAAACTTCTTTCATTAAATTGTAACAAGAATGATTTCCTGTTTATGTGATTTTTTTTTTCTATTTCTATTAATATTTACTACATATTGTTTAAATTTTTAAACTATAAAAATTATAACAAAAAGTCAAAATATTCGGATATAACATTAAAAAAATAATAGATTTTGTCAGATTATAAAGCAAAAATAACAGCAAATATAATTTAAAATTTTTGATATCTAAATTAATGTAAGATGAAAAAATTGCTTTCCAACAACGTGTAGACTGTAGAGCAAAGATATTCAAAAGGAAGAATTTAAAAGTGAAAAAATAAACCGTAAGAATTACCTATAATATATGTATATATCCCACATTTGATACAATTAGTAATAAGACTTTTGTATGACTTAATGAGGTATAAGATATTTTATCTTTGCCTCCTAAAACTATTTGATTCAGTAGCTGTCATTTTATTTCACTATACGTATGTTTAGTTTACATCAAATTATTTGTATAGGAAATGTAAAATCTTATAATCTATAATGTATATATATAAAAATGAATTCCTGTTCGTTAGTCTCATTAAAACTCGAGAACGGCTGAACGGATTCATCTTATCTTAGTCTTGAAATGTTTGTGAAGGTTCAGGAAAAGTTTAAAAGTTAAAAAAATTGATTCATTTTCGAGAAAACCCTAAAAAAATTCCCTTTCTCTATTTCCCATACAAACGTTTATTTGACATCAGATTTGACTACTAACTAATATATCAATCATTCTGTCGCACTTCAGAACATGGAGATTTATGGCTTATAGCAAACTCCAAAAAAATAAATAAAAAATTATTTATATATATATGTAGATTGAGGCAGTACAAACTCTGCCGGGTCAGCTAGTAATATATAAATAAAATAAGGAGATTATTCCCTTGGTCTATATATGTCTTATCTTATAATTTGCTTTTAAATTTTGTACATATTTTATAATGCACCTAGCTGTAAGGTTTAAGACATTCCAAAGTATTAACTAACAACGTCATTTCTCTGAATCAGTTAATCTATGATATTAATTACAACACCACGTAATAATTGTCTGCAGCTAATATTAGATATATTTAAATACATAAATATATTCAAAAATCTTGGTATAAAAATAAACTGTATAATTTAATCCATTATTTTATGCAGATTTGGCACTGTGTTATCTTTTATCGTGTTGCAAATTCAGCTTGCAAAAAATAAGATGTATTCCCTTCACTCTGTGTCTGAAGTCGCTAACCTTGCGGCCTTGTCACACATATTTGATTACAGTCATAAATAATAATATATCAATAAATATGTTTTATATTTATCTGTAATACATGTATTTAATACAATTTGAATATTTGTTTCTATATGTAACATTCTGATTTAGTATAACAGGTTGCTTTTCTCTACTGTCACCATTATTTTTTACTTGAGTGTAATGTGTATTTTTCGTTCTTTTTTAATAGTATTTTTATATTACGTAAACTCACAAGGACTTACCATTTTGGATAGTAAGTACTCCTTGATTAACCGCTGTACAAAGGACCTACTCCGTTAATTTGTTTTTATTAACTAAAACGAGTTTTTTTACAAATTTACAAATTATTTTCATTACCGTCTTATCATCTAAAAATAGCGTAAGTAACATGATAAAGACTTTTAAATTATAATTAAATTACCTTAATATAAGTAAAAAAATATTTTAAAATTGATAATAAATGGTTTCAATTCACTTAGGTATATGGTGTTTTTACACTCTATATCAATCTTGTAACTTCTTCATTTACGCACACATGAAATATTAAACCGACATCATGTACTAAATGTTTAATTTTTACTTCAGAGACGATATCGAGGTCGAATCGTTTTAAAATAATCTGTTTAAGCATTAAATTGTTAAGTGATTCGTTACAAAACGGATGCAGACTTATACAAATATTTGGTCAAACCATTAACATCCTTTCAAAATATTTTGAGTAAACAACGTAAACAATATGACATACGCGTACTCAAATAAAAACAATAGAAAGAAATGTTATTTATTATTTTAATATCGCACAAATAACAATTAAAGAATTGCTGTTTGTTTTAAATCATCCAAACGCTGAACCGAAAACTGTAAACATTGAATTACTAACAGACTCGAACCGTGTAGTCTTATTGATTCAAACAAAGATATTTTGAAAACAACCACCATTGTTCTATTACAAAATAGACGCATAAGAATTCTTTGTATATTGTATTTGTATAAAACGATACAAATTATAAATACCTTAACCCCAAAAAGATAACCTTAATTTAATATACAAAGCTAATT